GTACTCCCTGAGTTGGCTGTTGAACAGGCGTGGTATACATTTTCTATGTTGTGTGTTTTGAAGGGAGTTAAAAATGATTTCACATTTGTGTTGGCTACTCTTGGCAAAGTCATTTTGTGTAATCAGAGCTGCAAGAGATGAATAGTTCTTTGCGATTTTCTGTCAAGTTATCAATCAGGTTGTGACCTTTATGTTTATGCTTATCAATTCATTGAAAGCCTATCCCTTGTTTGAGAGCAAGTTTGTTCTACTTGTTGAAGCCTATCACCGTAGATCATGTTCTTCCTTTATTCGACTTATTATCATCTCTTCTTCAATATTTAACATAATACTCTATTCATAATTCTATATATTATATCTAATTTACCTCTATTGAAGTATTTGTTTTAGTGTTGGTATCTAATACTTACTGTCATTCATTCTATAATCTATTGATGTTTATGTTCTCTTTTAAGTTTCCTTGGATACATTGTTGGTATATAGTTCACTTGTGTTGCTCAATATGTGAGGCCTGTGTTGGCCACTGTAATGCATTAACACAATTAATATTCATTGGATTTCGCCTGATAGCATAAGTTCAAGTCACCTGGCTTCATGGGTTTGAAGTGAAGTGTGCCATTAGAGAAGCTTTGATGATGACATCTAGGGTCCAAAGATAATGGTAAAAAAGGAATGCACTTGAAGTGGTGAATTGTTTGAATGATAAGGTAATCATGTTCTTTTGTGATTGAATTGTTGAACGGGGACTTGCCTATAACTCAAGACTTCATTTTTCCAACGTTCTATTTTCCCTCTTGATCTAAGATTTAACCAGGTACACATGGCATATGATTTGTTGATATAATCAAAATGATTTGTTACCTAATTTTGTGCCCAAATCATGCTAAACATGTCCTAATGACACTACAAGAATTTTCACTTTTTGTATTCATTTGCCGACTAAATATTTAGTCACCAAAAGGTTGGACATTAAATTAAATTAGACCCTTTTCGACGACCAAACTTTTAGTCGCCTAAAGTCCCACCTTTTTAGCTACTAAAATTTTAGTCGGCAAAGAGTTCTTTTTTGGCTATTAAAAACTTAGTCACCGAAAGTCCCCATCTTTGGCTACTAAATGTTTAGTCGGCAAAGGGTTCCTCTTTTGGCTACTAAATATTTGGTCGCCTAAAGTTCTACATTTTTTGCTACTAAAATTTTAGTCGGCAAAAGTGTGTTTATAATTTAATTTTTTGTTTTTAGCTACGAAATATTTTAGTCGCCAAACGTTTGATTTTCTTTTGGCTACTAAACTTTTAGTCGCCAAATGTCTATTTATTTATTTTTATTTTTTTTGGCTACTAAAGTTTTAGTCGCTAAATGTCTTCTTCTTTTTTTTTTGCTACAAAACTTTTAGTCGCCAAATGTCTTTTTTTTTTGCTACAAAACTTTTAGTCGCCAAATGTCTTTTCCCAATTTCTTTTTAGCTACTAATTGTTTAGTCGCCAAAAATATGATATTATGTTTTATCGCGAAATTTTAATTTCTCCACAACCTGTCTATATACAATGCAACATGTAATACGTATAAAAATAAAATAATACACACTATCAATCGTTCCACAATCTGCATCCATATACCAAAAATAAATAACATTAAATATCAAAGTCCATACAAATCAACTATTGTCCAAACTAAAATAATAATTCCATACAAAATATATCATACAAAAATTAAAGCCATTCGTATACAAAAAAATACATTTACTACCGAGTGAAATTACCATTAGGCATGGTACAAATTACCATCGTAATCTGAGGACCACAAAAGTATTATATTAGTTCTACACAAAAGTGAAAATTCTTCTCCATACACCAATATGGATTATCCAAAAGTCCACGCAACAAAGCCATCTACAAAGAAAAACAAAAAATGAAACACTAGAATTGGTTACAAAATATCAATTCAGTCAACCATATGGAACATGTTCTGACATGCATTTAAGGTAGAACAATGGAGAAATGTCTTCTTTGAAATAAAAGAAAGTATATATATATATATATGTATCATGCAATATTTATTCCAACCAACTGCACAAACAATGCAATATGTAATTTCTTCGTCCTATAAATATATAAAGGCAATTATTAAAATATGTAGATGTTATTTTAATAAAGTTGTTGCTTTTTTAACTAAGTGTTGCAAGTTTTTCGACTAAGTGTAAGGCGTATTCGGGGGCTGTTACGAATTTTTGCCCCTGGAAAGCTCTTTTTCGAGTAAGTTTAGGGCGTATTCGGCTCTAACTCCCAACCTATAGGTCCGAATTACCTTCCGTCAGTTTTCACAAGTCCTATTTGTCATGGAGGAACTGTCTGTGTGAGCCACACGGTGGTTTGGGGGCTGTTATGAATTTTTGCCACCAGAAAGTCCTTTTTCGACTAAGTTTATGACGTATTCGACTCTAACTCCCAACCTACGGATTCGGATTATGTTTCATCAGTTGTCACAAGTCCTATTTGTCATGGGGGAACTGTCTGTGTGTGCCACACGGTGGTTCGGGGCTGTTTTGAATTTTCACCTCTGAAACGCTCTTTTTCGACTAAGTTTAGGGCGTACTCGGCTCTAACTCCCAACCTACAGGTCCGAATTATGTTCTGTCAGTTCTCACAAGTCCTATTTGTCATGGCGAAGCTATCCGTGTGAGCCACACGGTCATTCGGGAGCTATTTTGAATTTTTACCCCCGGAAGGCCCTTTTTCGACTAAGTTTAGGACATATTCGGCTCTAACTCCCAACCTACGGGTCCGAATTACGTTCCGTTAGTTCTCGCAAGTCCTATTTGTCATGGGGGAATTGTCCATGTGAGCCACATGGTGGTTCGGGAGCTGTTATGAATTTTCGCCACCGAAAAGTCCTTTTTCGACTAAGTTTAGGACATATTCAGCTCTAACTCCCAACCTACGGGTCCGAATTACGTTCCATCAATTCTCACAAGTCCTATTTGTCATGGAGAAGCTATCTGTGTGAGCCACATGGTCGTTCGAGGGCTGTTTTTGAATTTTCACCTCCGGAACGCCCTTTTTCGACTAAATTTGGGGCGTACTCGGCTCTAACTCCCAACCTACAGCTTCGAATTACGTTCTGTCAATTCTCACAAGTCCTTTTTGTCACGGCAAAGCTATCTGTGTGAGCCACACGGTGATTCGGGGGCAATTTTGAATTTTCGTTCCCGAAACGCCCTTTTTCGACTAAGTTTAGGGCGTACTTGGCTCTAACACCCAACCTACGGGTCCGAATTATATTCCATCAGTACTCACAAGTTCTATTTGTCATGGTGTAGCTATCTGTGTGAGCCGCATGGTCGTTCGGGTGCTGTTTTGAATTTTTGCCCTCGAAACGCCCTTTTTCGACTAAGTTTAGGGCATTTTCGGCTCTAACTCCCAATCTATGAGTCCGAATTACGTTCTGTCAGTTCTCACAAGTCCTATTTGTCATGGAGAAGCTATCCGTGAGAGCCACACGGTCGTTTGGGGCCTGCTTTGAATTTTCACCCCCGAAACGCCCTTTTTCTACTAAGTTTAGGGCGTACTCGGCTCTAACTCCCAACCTAGAGGTCCGAATTACGTTCCGTCAGTACTCACAAGTCCTATTTGTCATGGCGTAGCTATCCGTGTGAGCCACATGGTCGTTCGGGGGCTATTTTGAATTTTTACCCCCGAAACGCCCTTTTTCGACTAAGTTTAGGGCGTATTCGGCTCTAACTCCCAACCTACGGGTCCGAATTACATTCCGTCAGTTCTCACAAGTCCTATTTGTCACGGTGAAGCTATCCCTGTGAGCCACACGGTGGTTCAAGGGCTGTTTTGAATTTTTGCCCCCAAAACGCCCTTTTTAACTATCTTTAGGGCTTATTCGACCACATATTAGGGAAGGAAAAGGCACTGAAGAACTTCAAACTACTGTTGTTCACCCAAGAAATTATTTTGATCTAAATGAAAAAGTTAACTCATAAAATGGGACAACCCATGACTAAAACCCTCATCAAAAAATAAATAATTTTAACAGAACTTATATAAAATTTCAAGATAAAAAAGAGAAAACAAACACACATACAGAATGCACGTGCTCACACACACACACACACACACACACTTACCTGTGTACCCCAGTCACCAACATGGTTTCTCCGAAGAACCTCAACATTTGAAAACTCTAGCATACGGGCTAGAGTGTCTCAAATAATTGTAGATCTCAAGTGCCCGACATGCATTTCTTTAGCAATGTTGGGTGAGGAAAAGTCAACCACTGCCCTTTTGACTGTAAGTTTCGGCAACCATGTTTCAATACCATTTATTAGCATCTTTTGGATATATATACAGGAGATTTATATACATCATTATATGTGATATCACATACTATTTTTTTTATTACTAAAACAACTACATACCTATGTGATTTTTGCAAAATGAAACGATTTAACATTCTAAACATTAGCCAATATCTTTAAATCAAGTAAGTTATTCCTCACCGAGGGAGTTATTTTTTCAGCAAAAGGAAAATTTTGACACCTAACTAGTTGGGCTATATATGGCTTTGTTGTATTGAGATAAAATTATACCTTGATGTGGGCAGTGTCGTTGGATGTAATTGTACTACCAATGGAGAGCTGTACCTTTCCAACACATTCGTGATCATCATGGTAAATTTACCACCACCGAATTCTATCATTCTGCATGGTTTGGATTACCAGATCATGTAACTTGCCAAATCAAATTAAAAAAGGCTCCATTATCAGAATATAAATAGATGATACATACAGGATTTTCAGTCAATGATGCAATTGGAATTATTGCTCGACCATGGATAGTTTTCTTGGCATCCTGGACTTCGAGTAAAAGAACATCACCTTTGTTCTCTGGGAAACTGAAATTCATGCACACAGTAAGATTTTTTTTAATGTTAATGGTAAACATAACCGAGTATCATTGAACAAATGCAATCCCAAGGGTTCACTAGAAAACATTATACGAGTATGCCTAGTATACATCTTAATGTCAAAGACCATCAAAATCACCACAATTCAAGCTGCTAACAACAACTAGCCAACATGGTTCAACTTGAGTGCCTTCTAACTCTTTGGGTTGGTGGGTAAGCATGACACTGACCAACCTGTAATCCTTTCATAAAATACAACCGAATACAAAAGATCGTACTCACAACTAGTTTCTACTACTACAATGTGGATTCCATCTTCCTTTTAGTCCATCATTCAGACAATTTTTTCTACTAAATTAGGAGCTTTTACAATAATAAAACAAATCAAAATACAATTCACTTTATTTTGACTATAAAGAGTCACTTTATAATATTAGGAATAAGAATTCACAGAATTTTTTTGACTTAGAAATCAGTGCTTTGAAACAGAAGAACCACCATCCATAAATAAGATACTTACAACACATGATAATCGCCAGTTCCAGGCCGCAAGCAAATAGCAGAACCTTGTTCATCTTGAGTATCTTCTGTAGAACTCTTCAGGTGAAATAGGCATGACAGCCGCTCTGCAAACATGACAGGAATTTCTAATCATCTAACTGATTCAATACATATGGGAAACCAACACTCAATACACACACAGTTAAAATCAAATGTGTAAATGAGAAGAGAAGAATGCATGTGAAGTGGGAATAGCCTTCAAAGAATACTGCCTACAGACATTTCTCTTCTCCTATTGTCCTCAGATGTCCAAAGGTTTGTGTCTAGGAATTTAAATGGAGGCCTACTTTGAAAATTTTACTGATTATACTATCTTTCTTGGTATCTAGGTTCCTAAACTAGTCATGATTATTTAATCCTTTTTAAAGTAATCTTGATTTTCTATGTGTGATCGATAAAAACTAGATAGATAAAGAAAGTAAAGCAAAGATTAAAAATAGATCAATGTGTCAAGAACAGCACACCTTCAGATGTCACCGACAATGAGGCAATTTTAAGAGAATTGATGCTGGTTTTCACAAGTGATGAAACATGTCGGACATATTCTGCTCCCACTTGCATATACATCGCACTTCTCAGTGAGTATGTGCTCTTAAGTTTCCGTCTCGGTATTATGCGAAGCTTTCTCACTGCCAAGCAATTATTTCATAATTTTAGGTTACAAATCCAGTTAACAGGAAGGTCCAAAAGAAGATCAGATTGTTTTTTATTATCAATGTCAATAGAAGTATGAGAACTAATAGGTCTGCATTATTACCACAACACAACCACCTTGTCTCCACAAACCTTCATATTTGACAGATGAAAATTTGAAATCATCAAAATTACCTTGCAGCTGCAAACAAATGCAACTAAATAATACAAAGAAATCTGGTGCTTGCAATCTAGATACAAATACAACACAATAGACAATGGCCAGAAGCCCATTTGAATGGACATGTCAAAGACCCCATTCCATATGACCTGAAGTATATGTGTAAAGAGTAAACTGAACTTTAGAACCCCCATCTAGTTACAAGCATACCTTCCACTCTAATCTTTCCAACTACTTTCTTTACTTTCAAAGAGCCTGCTTGTTCTGTACTTGAAGTACCCTTCCTTTGCATTGATTGAACACCTCGAGGTTGCAATAAAAGTTTATGTAGCCTATTTAACAAGATAACAAGGAGAGATCACTAATTAGATTTGAGAACTAGCATTCAAACTGAAAAGACGACCACCAATAAGAAATGCTGATAATTGACTGCACACACTAGCAGAAGGCAACTTACCCAAATGCACTTCGGAGAACCAGGCACTCATCGCGTAGGAATTCAGGTGCCTCTGTGCAGCCTCTTGCCCAGGCATTTAGGCAAAGGCGAATGCATGCATCATAGGCAATTAGAGTTTGCCATGCATTTTGACCACTGCCAGAAGAAGAGCAATTTCAGATTTCAGAATGGGAAAATGATCACATGTGTATATCAAGCAAGCTGTTTAGATATCAGAATGGTAAATGACTGTGTGTAAAGGAAGTGATTCAGCACAGCTTAACTCAACAATTAGCAAGCAGCCCTCTGCTAAATTGATCCTCGAAATTCAGTGAGGACTTACTACTTAGAGGGGCAAGTACTAAAACCCATATAGAGTGAAACAACCCTGAGTTCAACAATTGTATCAAAGCCATAATACAAATTGCTTTCTAGTCTATTTACATATCCTCAAGAGTCATATGATCATAGTTATTTACAGTAACGTTGATGCACAATTTGGTACAAAAAAAAATGTGATTACTTTGGCAGTGACTAAGACAAGTCTGACTGTTGCAGTTAAACAATAAAAACTCCAACTAAAGTGAACACCAAGGATAAACAAAAAGGCCAAAAAAATGGATCATACCTGGCGTCATAATAGGGTGAATTATCAAATGAATTTGTTTGCCAATAAGGGGCCGGTGCTTCCTTTTCTCCAGCTACTGTTTTGTTTTCCCTGTACAAGAGAAACTTTCAAAACATACTGCAATTTTTATGTGGAAAACAACTCAAGGCAAAGTTTTAATGCACAATGGCACATGGACTGAAGATTTACCATACCTTTCAACATGTTCATTTTTTTGAGATTGTACTCTCCAATCAGAACATGCCTCTTTATCACCTTGAAAACCATCTTCTGATTCTTTAGACAAGTGTATCGCATCAAAACTCCTCTCCATTTCAGTCAAACCTTCAGAATCTTCTCTTAGTTCATTTTCAGCTCCAGATTTGTTTCCTTCTCTTCCAATATCTATAATTGGAGGTGCACTAGGAGTCCCCAAGTCTGTCACATCATTTCGCATATCATTACTAATGGGAGTACCCTGCAATTACAACCAAATCAATTAGACTCCAATCCAAAAAACCCTTTCTACAAAGTCCAACCAAATCAATTAGAATCCAATCCAAAAACCCTTCTGAATATATAGTTTATTGGGGAATGAAATCAAATCTTACATATGCATTGTGTAATTGAACTCTTTCATGCAATCGACAGCTTCCACCTGATTCAGTGTTTAGGTGTGCACCACGCATTCCAAAACCTAATACACCATCCGTAAATCTTCTATAATTTTCCGGCACTTCAATCCGAAGATCCTCCATCAACAACCCTTTATTCAGAGTAGACCCTTGTCCACCCTCCAATCCAGAAACTGTACTTTGATTCAAATTTCTGTTCAATTTTGAACCAAACATGTCATTGTCATAAGACTTCTCAACAGACTTTTCCAGAGATTCAACATCACTATATCTCAAACCCTCTTCCTCGGAGTAATGCCCACCCGGATCATTTGGAACCGAGGCCACACTTTCATCATCATCACCATCATCATCGTCTGCATCATTGCTATCCAGACTAAGAGTGACTGTGTTATGAGGTCCAAGCAAGCCAGAATGGAATTTCAGGGGAGGCAAAACATGGGGAGACATGTAAGTACTGCTATTGAAAGACAAAGGAGATCTGGGTGCGATGAATTCATGATCAAAATTTTCTGTTAATGGCGATCGAGCATGGTGTTGTTCAATCTCCGATCCCTACAGGTGAAATTTCCCAATTGAATTCAAGATTGAAAACCCTTCTGAAACAGAACATCTATCTATCTATCTATCTATCTACATATATATAGGTGTGTGGGTGTGTTCAAGAACTGTGAAAGACATGCTATAAATGTGTATATATGATCAAGAATTTCGAAATTGAATGCTGTTAAGGGTTCTAATACCTGTTTGATCCAATTGATTGCGCTTTGGTCTAGACCCTCGGTGAACATCTTTACAGGGTTTTGCGGAGGGGGGAGAGAGAGAGGGAGAGAGAGCTTGTGTTGAGCTTTGTTCAGAGGAGAGACAATAAAGAGCGCGTTGAAGGCGGTGGGAGACACCTAATGCTAACGGCTAGTTTTGAAAATTGTTCAAAAGCCACACTTAATAAACAATTGGAAAACCCGAATTCAAAATTCAGTATGGTCCATATGGACCCGGGTTCTAAAAATCTAGACAAATGGCTGCCTTTTTACCTTAATTTTAAGGGGATTTAAGACAAACTTTTATTTATTTATTTATGAAGAATGCTATATGTATCAATTAGTGTACTAACTAGTATATTAATTGATGATATGACATAATTTAAAAGATTTATAGTATTTGTGATTTGTATAGTGAGTGAGATTAATAATAAAGTTATAATTAGTGTTGATATATTATCTAGTATACTGATTGATACATAAAATACTACTATTTATTTGTTTAAGTGATGGCAATAAGAATGAATGCCCCCAACCACTTAAGTGTGGTGATGTTTAGTGGTATGATGGTGTTAGTAACAATAGTACTGGCAGGGATGGTGAAATGATAATAATGATTATAATTTTGATAAAATAATATAATTGATCTTGTCAAGTCTAAAAGATAGTCTTTTAAAAAATTTAAAAATACCCACATTAATTGATTTTTTGACTGACCATATAAAGTATTTTTCTTGATTTTTCATCGTTTGCCATATTAAATGCAAAAAAAATAAAAATAAAAATAAAAAAATAAAAAAATCGTTAAAACAAATAAAACATTACTAGTTAAATACGAGCAAGCCTATTATTTCTATGTGGATATATTTTTTTATTGTTAGACAAGATAAGAGAAAGATCAAAGTAAGTTATGAGATAATGGAATTTATAAGTTTAGAAAGGATTATGAAAAATATGCGTGGCAGGATGATGTCTGGTTTTGAGAAGAGGTAAATGTAAAATCTCAAACCATATCACTTAGGCAAGAAAAGTTTATAGACTATATGAGTGACTCTACATCCTGTTTTTTAAGTAACAACACGTTCTCAAGTCACGAAAACATAGCCTAAAGAAAACAATATTATTTTAATTCAGAATGGAGACGTTACAGTTTTTACCAGAGTGGGACTTACCTTCAACTATGTGGGCCACACCTAGTGAAAGCTACTTGGAACGGAGATAATATAATTTTTACTTTTAAGGGTTGCATGAGATGATCTAAATAAGTATATTTTTTGATTTTTTATTAAATATGGGTTGAGTTTGGGTTGAGTTTAAAGTGATGTGTTAAAAAAATGATATGACTTAAATAAGATAATGTGATTTAAATAGGATAGTGACTTTTTGTCTTTTTGAATTTTTTAAGAGTTGTCAAACTTAACCTTAGAGTGATATCTATCTTTAACTACGTAGATTACGACTCTGAGAGTTATTTTTATTTTTAACTATATGTGAATCATACCTAATAATATGAGAGAGTCATTTTTATATTTTAACTATGTGAGTCACGCCGGATCATATGAGAGTCACTTTTTTCTTTAATTATATAAGTTATACTTAATAAAAGACACTCGTAGGATATATACGAAACTAATAACAATGCATTTTAAATTGCGACGAATATTACACCATTTGCCACTATCTTCTTTTTATTTAGTTATTTATTTATTATTATCGGTCAAAAAAAATAAATTTGTTGACTCCTTGACTCCGTTCACTTTTCACCACCCGCCGCCACCTTCCTCTATTCACTCCGTTCTGTTTCCAACACTAGCCGCAGCCACCACCTCCAACTGCATTTGTCACCCTACTTCTAGCATCTTCACCACCTGCTAATAATTATTATTTTTTATATAAAAATAAAGTGAATTGAAAGAAAATGGTAGCAAGGAAATTGAAGCTCTCCCCAAGTCGACAATAATGTTTGTTGACAAAACTTGTGGTGGAGATCTCGTCCTACATGTACCATTGACCTTATGTCATCACCTAAAGAACATAAAAACAAAAACAACCTCATCACTCATCAAAACTAACCCCCTCCCTCCTCCGCCTCAAAACAAAATGGTCTCTCACAAGGCTTCACCACGTACTGCTACATGCACAATGGCACAACACCACCACCATCTCCACCACCAAACCTCACTTAGCTTGGGATTTCAAAAGTTTTAAGCTTCTTTATTTTTATTTTTGTGGGTTTATATTATTATTACTACTATTATCAGAAAACAAAAAAACAAAGTGATGGAAAATGAAATTAAAAGCAAGAGCAACACCACTGCATGAGTACGTGTAACGTAAGGGCCACCGCAACACAAATGATGTGTATCTCTGAGTTGTCTCGCTTAATCACTCTCTCACTCAGCTTAACTGTCTCCATTAAAAGCCATCTCTTCTTGGTTTTATCTCCAATTTGTCGCTTCCTAATCCTTATCCCAACCACCTCCCTCCCTCCTCCCTCCCTTGACAACAAACAAAAAATAAAAGTAAGAAATAAAAAGAGCTGTTGTAAATAAGTCATTTATTTTTTAGAAATGTGTAGTAGATTTTTTGGGATAATCTCTAGTAATAGTTTACGACACAAAAAAAAAATAATAATAATAATGTGGGGATATATTTTTTGAGTACCAACACATGGCCAAGGTGACGCCGACGTGTCAGCCGAGGTGCCACGTGTCCTGGTTGTTATGCCGAGGTCATCTCGGATAGGCCGAGGTTACCTCCGAAGATATCGGAATCCGAGATAAGCGGATGAGGTGCAAAAGTCCTAGAATGAGAGGAGACTTCAGTTTGTATTAAGATAAGACTCTTAGAGAGTTTATCTTAATCTTACTAGGAGTCCAAGATTAGCAGTAATCCTGAGTCTATAGAAGTTAGGCTTCTATTGGGACTAGGTTTATGTTGGCTATAAAAGAGAGGCACCCCCATGGGTCTAAGATATGCTTTTGATACTCAAGCTTGTGAGTTTTTAGCACTTGATTTATCTTTGAGAGATATACTGACTTGATCGTCGGAGTGCCCCCGGGTGGACGAACCACCG